CTGAGGAGAAGGCCATCGAAAGTATTGAAAGTGTCGGTTGGAGTTTAGACATGGATTGCCGTCTCGTGAAGCCATCAAAACCAACTCATTGTGTCGAAGAGTTGTCTTCCAGTGAAGAACAGTTGGCAAAACTCACCGAATATGTGGCCTTTCTTGAGAACTGATGATCACTTGACCACCGAATGCCAGCACTATATTCTCATGATTACATTTATCGTACTTTTGAACCATTAAAACTATATTGAAACTATAAATGCTTATGATTTCAATGTTCAATCCATGACCACTGATGACCAGATGACCATTTGATGACTTGAATTGTTGGCAATTAGCGTCACATCACTTTCATCTAATACTGTATAATTACAATGTTGTCAATAATGGCAAATCAATAGTATTAACACAAATGGTTACAAAAATGTTGAAATAATTCAATTTTAAGGATCACAATATAATGTGACAAACAGTTGAACACTATTTAACACAATTAAGGCCTAATAGGGGGGCATATAATGTTCGCCTTTAAGAATTGTAACGTTATATACGAATGCAATGATTATTAGGTTTTGTTGGTTTGAAGTGAAATGTTGTCAAACTTTGAAGTATTAGTGAAGTATTAATTGTGACAATTAGTGCCCATTAGTGGCCATTGTATGACATGTCCTCTCAATTGGCTCACGATTTGAATGACAATAAGTGGAGATCAGATGACATCACAGTTACCGGCGATGAAGAAAGTGAAGTGACGTTTAGTTCATTGAATTTGTCACCTAATGTGGGGTCAGGTCTTCGGGCCAATGGTTTCGTGCGTTTATCTGCCATTCAATTACATGCCATACCTTTAGGTCGATGTGGTGTTGATCTGATCCTACAGTCCAAGTCAGGCACCGGCAAGACTTGTGTCTTTGTGGTCATAGCTCTGGAATTGTTGGAAGCGTTTCAATCGACAGCCATTCAAGTTATTGTGGTTTGTCCCACACGTGAGATCGCTGTACAGACCAATCAAGTGATCAACTCATTGGCCACACATTCACCGCACGTGCGCTCCTGTCCTGTGATCGGCGGCACTAAACTCAAGGATGACGTGAATGTATTGTCCGGATGTCAGGCAGTGGTCGGAACCCCCGGAAGAATCAAACAATTAATTGAATTAAATGTTTTGAAAACTAATTCAATCCGTTTACTAGTTTTGGACGAATGCGACAAACTTTTAGATAATAATTTCAGACAACAAATCGATGACATCTTTGGCTCTTTGCCACAAAACAAGCAGACAATAGCCGTCAGCGCAACCATGACCTCAGAGTTGGCGCACTTTCTCACTCAATATATGCGGACTCCTGTCTTCGTTAGACTCAATGCTGACAATCCGGCGCTCATAGGAGTGAAGCAGTTGTACACAATCACTGAATATCATCACTTGAATCACATTAACTTTGATAACAAAATCGAGCCCTTGATTGAAATTCTGGCCAATGTCTCCTTCTCGCAGTGTCTCGTCTTTTCCAACTATCAAACCAGGTATGCATTGATTGTATTGATTGCATTTAATTAGTTAATCACACTTTGTATATACGTTAATATAGGGCGAGAATGCTTTGCGACAAATTGAATGCATTGAATTGGAAGACCACTTATATAAGTGCCGAGAAGTGTCAGTCAGAGAGACTCAAAGCCATATCTAAACTGCGAAAATACAAGTGTCGGGTTTTGGTCTCAACAGATCTGACCGCTCGTGGAATAGATGTACAAAATGTGAATTTAGTCATTAATATGGACACACCGTTTGACGCGCAGACATACCTTCATCGAATTGGTCGCGCCGGCAGATTCGGTAACTTATCATATGATTAATGCAAAACATATTTAATTGATTGAAATTGAAATTGAAGGCACCCGAGGAATAGCTATCACTATTGCTAGCAATGGTCGGGAAGCGGAACTCTTACACAACATTATTAAAGATTGTAAACTGAATGTCGAAAAACTCAAACATCCAATTCCTGAAGACATTTGGAAAATGGATGATTCAGACGAAGACTTTGCACTCATTGAAAAAGCAGTCAATTTAGAAAAAGTGAATCAAGATTTGCCCGAAGACTATGAAGAATATAATCCACTCGAAAGATATTCAGTAAAAACTGTCACAAACCCAGAGAACACTTTGACTCAAATCAAATCATTTGGTGATATTTTTGAAGAATACAATCTTCTATTGAAAAATTTAGTTGAAAATAAAGACAATACAAATAGTGATGGTTTGGAAGAAAATGGCAAATATTTGTGTGAAGCGAAAGAAGAGGTTTGCGATGATCTGTTGAATGGACATGAAATTGGGCTTAATTTCAATGTTAATAAAGACACCCAAGAGTTACAAGCATTGAGTTGTGATAAATTGAAGCCACAAAACAATAGCAAACAATTTGCTCAATCATTTGATGACGAAATAAGCTGTGATTTAATTGATCCGATGGAGCCTTCATTGAATGTGATCCAGAGTGGAAGGAATGAATGGTCTAAAGCACTGTTTCCTCCTTTCCATACTATAGACAATCCGTTTCAATACAACCAATGGATTGAAACAAATCACTATTTATGGTCTTATATGTTAAATCCGTTTTCTATTCACTCAAAAGTACATTCAAAACCAATTTAATAAATAAAGATTATTTATGCAATGTTTGATATTTGTATTACACAATTGAATTATATTTATTTACTAAAGCGTCTCAAAATGATTGTTAATTACAATTAAGTGAATTATGATTTATGAGATCTCGACGCCGCCCCTCCTTTTTAGAACAACAATTACAAATTTGTCCCCATTTTATGACCACATAATCACATATTTTTGTATATAATATAATGATTGAAAATAATTTTATTAAATTTAAATTTATTTATATTTTAAACTATTTTTTATTATTTTATATTAAAATTGTGTTTACATGTCAATTATATTAATATACATTATGTTATTTCGGTTCTTTCATACTTGATAGCATCAAAATGAGTTAGACACATTTTTTGTATATTGGTAGAATGTTTTAACCATGATAATATGATATTAATATTGATATATCAACTTAACATGATACCACCATGTTGGTTACAGCAGACAATATAATTTCAAATATTTGTTTCTATTTGAATGATATGAATATATTTTAATCATTTTTCATCAAATTTTAACAAAAGAGTTAATATTAATTAATGAAACAAATTTATGAATAATAATAATTTTATGCAAATTTCTTACATTCTATGAAATATTTAAAGAATTGAGTATTTTTAGTATTATTTACAAATTTCTATATAATTAAAATCTACACAAAAATAGGTTTTGAAATTAGAAAGAATCAATACTTCTAAACAATTGTTTTTTGGATAACACTTTTCATAAGTAATATAATTTAACAATAATTAAATAAAAAATTTGTTAACATATATACTGTTTTATAAAACCAAAGAATAAACATGACTTAAAAAACATTTTGGGAACTCCTTTGCATAATATATAACATTATATTTTATATAATTCTTTGATAAAGTGCTAAAATTGGCGAATAAAAATTGGTCTCAAGAGTGGTTCAGTTAGTTTTGAGGCATTTTTGTTGAAAAATTCTTCTCTAAAGGATTTCTGATATAAATGACAATAACTTTATTTAAAGTATGTTTATAATAACATCACAAACATTATCACAAACATTATTATAATCACTAAAAATAATAGTCAGTGAAAGTACTTTTGCCGAATTATTTGCTCCATGTTTTGTAAACTCTCAATAAGTTTAATATCACTATAACTCTGATTCTGGAGTTGAATCTCCACTTCCTCTTTGTTTTTGTTCGCTTTTAATTGAATCTAAAATACAAATTATTTAACGGATTATAATATTTATACAAATTGTTTAAAATGCATTAAATAAGTAAATCTCATTCAACACACCCTTTAATGTCCAAAACATATTTTATAGTTATTATTGAATTGTCCATTTAAATTGCATATAATATTAGCTAACATTTGCAAACATAGCTCACTGATAATCATAAATTATTATATCTACACTAAAATATTGTCAGATAACTAATAGTGAATCCCAATAATTAAATAATCACTTCAAACACATCTTTAGTAAAAATATTTTCACTTTAAAATTGAGATAATTTTTAGTCAAATATTTTTACGTAAATTTTTTTAAATAATTCCGAGTGACAAACTTTGAAAAAATCCTGTTCATAAACTATTTATCCGATCTTGATGAAACTTGGATTCTGGTGTCTAGAGATGTCAACTTAAATTATGAAACTAATTTCAGACTTCTATTTACACGGCTTCATAGCGAAGCAACTAGGTTTTCATTTAGATTGAGATACATGTATATAGTTAAAGAAAACTATTTATATAGGTCGACTGGTCATCGTTTTACCTTCATTTTTCCTGTTTTCAGGAAGATAAAATATCTTTCCTCTCAAAACTATACAGGAGAGGGAATTGTCTGTTAGTTATAATATTCTTTATAATGTTCAATATTTGTTAGTCAAATATTTTCACAATTATACAAATCAGATACAATAAATGGACTGTCATTCTAATTCATACAATAAAAGCTCTATAAATAGATTCTACATTCTCTCTCTCTCTCTCTCTCTCTATTTTTGCCATGAAATTGAGTTTTATTGCCTAATCTTTCACTCAATCTAATGATTAACTGTTTTAATGACAAACATAGATATA